TTATGAGGAGGAACCTGTTGCCATTCTAGATAGAGAAATTCGCAAGTTGAGATCAAGGGAGATTGCATCCATCAAAGTTCAATGCAAGAATCGACCCGCTGAATAAGCCACTTGGGAGAAGGAGGCAGATATGCGAGAAAGATACCCACATCTGTTTACAGATTCAGGTACTCCTTTTCGCCCTTTGTTTTCCTTCTTGTGATCGTTCGGGGACGAACGATGGGTAAATTGGTATCTATTGTATGCCCTGTTTAGTCGTTTTGAACAACAGATTTTATTTCTGGAAAAATAGGCTGAGGCGACGGACCCCACGATGGACCGTCATGGCCACGACGGACTGCCGCAGGGTCTCGTTTCAAAACACTTAGAAAATCTGAAATTGGATACTGAAAATTGACTCTCTGAACTCTGTGACGGAGCAGCAGGACGGACCGTCGCAGGCGCGATGGGCCGTCACAGGCTGCGTAAATCCCAGTCTGAGTCGGAATTCCTCAATTGTTTTAAGGGACGTTTTTGACTATTCCTGCTTTAATTATAATGTTAGTGGGTTAATGTTAATAAGTCTAATTACTTGGGGGTTAAAAGAGGTAACCTTAAGTTAATAAGTGGGTTATTATTGCCATCTTTTATTCTTAATTATATACTAATTAGGGTAAAAGAAAGAGGGTTGGAATAAGAAAATTTGAAAGCACAAGAGAGGGAGAAAACGAACGAACAGGGAGAGAAGAAGAACAAAGCTTTGGGAATTTGCTTGCTTGATCACTAGTCTTCGGTGGAGGTAGGTTATGATTTCTCTTACGATATTCGTAGTAAACTCTTAATAGCGAATGATATGTATTGATAATATTGTAAACCCTGCTATATGCTTAATTGTATGCTTGCATGAATGTAATTATATAATTGTGATTATATAAGCATGATGAAGTTATTGAATCCCAAATCTTGCAAAACCCTAATCTCTTTGTTAATGATGAGGCCTTGGTATAAAAGAAGGCTTGATGAACTAAAATAATGAGATTGATGATGCTTTGGTAAGAAAGAAGGCTTGATGAATTGATAGAAGGAGATTTAGGGGATCGGGTGTCACGAACCGACACGTAGATTTAGGGGATCGGGTGTCACGAACCGACACGTAGATTTAGGAGATCGGGTGTCACGAACCGATACGTAGATTTAGGGGATCGGGTGTCACGAACCGACACGTAGATTTAGGGGATCGGGTGTCACGAACCGACACGTAGATTTAGGGAATCGGGTGTCACGAACCGACACATAGATTTAGGGGATCGGAGTGTCACGTACCGACACAAGAGGATTAGTGAATATGAGGGAGCAGAGTGTCACGTACCTACACACGAGAAATAATGACAATGAATCTTGAAAGATGTTAATATACTCAATCGAATGAACATAATTCCCAAATGAGTATGGTATTGAGGCTTGAGTCTTCATGTGTGAACTTGACGGTAATTTTTAATGATATAGTACTTGCTGTTGCTACATGTTGAGTATCATAGTTGATTTTATGATATTATTTGGTATATATTGATTTCTATTTTGAGTTGGCCGATGATATCTACTCAGTACCCATGTTTTGTACTGACCCCTACTTTTATGTTTTCTTCTTGTTTATTTGTGGAGTGCAGCAAACGTGCCGTCATCTTCGACTCAACAGTAACTCTAGCCAGTCTTCATTACTCTGGATATCAGGGTGAGCTAATGCTTCTAGCTTGGACTGGATCTTCCTCTTCATGTCTTGATGCCTTGAAGTTCCGGCATGGACTAGCTTTTATGTATTTTTAGCTTCTTAGAAACTCTTAGATTTAGTAATTTGATCATAGATGTTCTTGTGATGGTGACTTCCAGATTTTGGGAATAATAATAGTTATTGATTTTATTAATGAGTTTAAGTCTTCCGCATTACTTTCTGTTGATATTATATTGAAATGTTAAGGTTTAGATTGGTTGGTTCGCTCACATAGAAGGGTAAGTGTGGGTGCCAGTCGCGGCCCGGATTTGGGTCATGACAAGCGCAAACGACCATTGACCGTTTATGTCAAAAAAAATTATTTATTTCTCTCAAACATTCCGTAGAGGTGAGTTTTGACATATATTTTTTTCAAACCTCTCATAGAGGTGAGTTGTGGCATATATTCAACCTATAATGATTTTATCACATCTTGAACCATTCTCTTATAGAATGGTCGAGCATCACAAGTTAAATTCTCTTCAAGGAATGGACTAATCATTTATATGTACTTCATAAATTTGTATTATAAGCACATTGTCATGGCTTTAAAATTCATCATATTTCCATGACACACCTCAACATCACTTTAAAAGATTAAGTGTACCATCACTTTATCTTCTTCTCTTTCGATGGAGGATTTATAAACTTGTCAAATTATTGGGTCGACACATTCACAAGTCCAATGACCTTTCATATTATTTTAATAATAAAAATTGCATTCACATTTTGAAGGACTATTTGGAGAACCCATAATGTTCTTCCTTTAATAATTACCACAATGATGACTATTATAATTCCGTTCCTCCACACCCTTATTCATATCATTAATTATTTGTCATCTTTCAAACTAATTATTCACTGCTACCACATTCATATGATTGAATGGAGCAAGTCAACAGGCGGATTTCAAAGTTATCACATGTTGCTACCACATTCTTTTCAAGGAATGGAGCAAATTCAATATGATGAATTTCAAGACTTTTCATCAAAAAACATATTACTTTTCCTCAATCATCATTTTACCACCACTATGGTGCATTGAGACTCAAACTCAATGTCTTATCCATACAAGGCACATTAGGCCATAATTCTATGGGACTTGAATCCAATATATTATCATCACGGTGCATCAAAACTCAAATTGATGTCTTACCCTCTTGGTGCGATAGAATTTGAATCCATCGTCTTATCCTAATTTTTTTTCATTATTTGCATATGGACTTAACCTGATGTCTTACACTTTTGGTGCGATGGAACTTAAATCCACCGTCTTACCCTTCAATCAATGCCATATAAGTCAATACCAATAGAACTCAACCATGAGCCTTTAAAAGAAATAAAAGGATTATAGAAGCAAATTTAGTAAAAATAAGATTGAGAGTTTTCTCACCTCTAGTAATTATAATTATTAATAAGTTCCTCATAATTAACACTTAGAAATTCAACATGAAAATTTACTTCTCTATCCTTCAATTCTTTTCTGAAACGAAGAACTGTTAGTATAATCATAAATCAATGTATAAAATTATTAAAGTAAAACAAAACAATACGTTCTACTTTTTCATATATCACATATATACTAAAATAAATCATTAATATAAGAGGAACTTTTGAAAATATAAATGTGTAACAAGAAAAAATAATAAAACATGTTCCTGCTCACAAGTGTTTCAACTTGCGAAGTGCTACAACTCTTAGAGCATATTCGTACTGATAACGTGTTATAAAATCTAAGCTCAGAATAATATAAGTATAAAGAAAGAAGATAAGAGAAGTAGATATAGGAGAAGACTTTCTTCTTCTTCAAGTGTGTGTAAGTTTCATATGTATATCATACAGTAGTGAATGAACAACCCTATTTATGGGTTGAGAAATCACTCCAAAAGTCACCATATTAAGTGTCATAATAAATAGATACATTATTATCAAAAAATGTTCATGAACCCAGTGAATATGGACAGTTGTTAATGTACTAACTTTATGAAATATCCACTCATTCAATGAATTTATAACAAGTTATTTAATTTCAGTTTTTATAAGTTTTAATTTATACAAAGTAATGCTCTTGAAAATAATTAACTTTTTTCGGATTAAATTAATTAAATTTAGTGGTAATGATCGAATATGAGTATATATTTTTTTGTTAAATTCAAAAGGTAAATTGAGATACCTTTTTCAAGAAGTTGGGTCAAAAATAATATTACCATCCACTTGATATTTTTTAAACAAAGGATTTAAGGTGGTGGTATGATTGAGATTTCTTCATCTTTAAGGAATGAAGGTGGTGGTATGATTGAGATTTCTTCATCTTTAATTTGAGATCTTAGATTCGAGCTTCTGTAAATGAAAAATTGGAAGTGTCACCTTTAAAAATAAACACTTCATTGCGCGAATCTCAATTTAGTCGAATTTAATACTAGAAACATATAACACCTAATAAGGTTTTTGAGAACTCTTCTTTTAACAGATTAGAGGCAGGCAGTAGCGTTTGCTACACCAAACTGCATATTCTATTGTGAATTTTTGAGTAAAAAATCATGTTATTTTCACTTTGGAAACATGTTAAATATAATCGTATTGAAATGGTCTAAAAAATTTCTACCTTAAAAATTAGAGTCATATATATTCTCATGTTATCAAATCAGTTAAATTATAGACTATTCACACATGATCATTAGTTGATTCTAGTAAGACTCAAATATTCAAAATAAGTTTTAGGGTGAAATATATAAATTGGAGTCGTATTCAAATTCTTCAACCTTGATTTTTTTTTTTGGCAACAAAATATGAACTATTATCATACCAACAATTAAAAAATACACCTAAGAGCGGCTATAATCTAGTTATCAACAACCTGGCACATATAAGTAAAAAAACGATTTGATTTCTTTACATAGAAAAAATAAAAGCAGAAGATAAGTTCTTAATTGAAGTTGAACACAATCTAGAGTTAGATCTTATAAATAAAAGTATATTATAAAAAAATATAATTCGTAGAATAGTCTAATATTGATCAGTTTCTATTTGTATGTCTTCGGACGAATCTTACTAAATTAATAAAGTGTAATTTATAAGAATCACATATTGTAAGTGAAATTACATTTGTAAGGGGGAAAACAAATATTTACTTTTACTAAAGTCCAATCCAATATAATTGGATAATGAATAAAAAAACAACCAAGGCAATGGACTTCAACTTCTTCACTTACTAGATGGCCGCGAGCCGTGCTAGCACGGCCCAATATGAACAAATAAAAAACATCAAATCAGTATTGCAATATTTCGTTAGAAGTAGTATGTATAGGGCAATACTTGGATTGACAAAATTCTATCTTCTGGTACCGTGCAACATTTTAACACAACACAACACAACTAAAAGAGCAACATGAACTTGTACAAAATATTAAAAAAGAACCTAGGTTCTTTACAAAGAGGGTGATTTAAGTTATCTAATACAACACATTTTTATTGTGATTTGTGTCAAGCGTGCTTGGTATCAAGGGCCATATAAGCAACTTTATTTTACTACCAGCAATATTTCTGTTGTTATGATTGTCAGGGACGATTCTGCACATTCAAATAACAAGATGTGAAAAACACAACTTTCTAAGGTCAGTATCAAATAATCATGACTCAAATTAGCCTTTAAACTAATCAAACTACGAAAATAATCTAGAAATTAACTCACACTTGCAAAATTGGGATTTACCAAGCAACGGATCAAAATATTGGGAGGGTGTCAATGAATGAACTGTCTAGCCTAGCATGATATATCTTCACAACAGATACCCTCATATTTTGGGATCCATTTCCTTTGTGGGCAAACACTTTTTTTATATCAAGGAATCTATCAATGTTTTCAAGGAAATGGAGGCAAAAAAACTTGATCAAACAAAAGCACAAAATCAGTCCACAAAATATTTAAGCTCTCTATCTCAGTAATCTTCAAATCTATGCAAATTGATACATGTCAAAATAGAATTGTTCCAAACTGAATAATCACATGGGAATAAATTATATCAAATCTGCAAAGAAATTATAGGTGAACACCAACAAACTCATCATTCTCATGTACAACTTCAAAAGATCACTAAAAATAATGATGAAAATGTAAATGTGACAATTAAGTACAAATAAAAAGAGAAAATAAGAAACAATAGCTTAGAGAAGATAAACCTAATAACACTGAGAGTAGAAATCTGAAAATGTATCCATGACTATATAGTTTTCTTAATAAAAAAGATAACGAAAGAATGAACGAAAAGTATCTTACCTTCTACTCATCCTTTTGGTTGTATCATTTTCATGATAAGTGTCATAGCCTTAATTGATAAAGAGTATTGTGACTGAAAATTTGTTCGCCTCATCTTTATTCACTTTTGTTTGTATTTCTAATAAAAAATTTAAAACTTTAAGAGGTAGGTCATCTCTATCATATTGTTCGGCAAGAACTATATAAAACTCACCCTTGATAAGGAGAACTAAGCAACCAAAAGAAAATTTCTCATGCTCCTGCCATGTTAACATTTAAGATTAGTCAACAATAAACAATTAAAATTTTAAGTAATTGATTGAACACAAAATGAATTATAAGATGAAATTTAAAATTTAAAACCTTGAACTCATATGATCAATTAGATATCAAAAAGCATCTATGTGGAAAATCTCTATATGTAAATGAACTGCTAATTATGATACATCAAGAACTAAATATTAAAATAACTATAGACGGAAGATAACTCAAACAAATAATTTTTTTTCAAAGCTTCATATTCTTATCACTGGCATAAAAACACTTCTCGTCTCGCATATTCCTTTCTGTTAACTATTGAGATATATCACAATTTGTATAACTCTCTTAGAAAATATTTCTTGTTCAAACTTCAATAACAAAACCTAATCTCAAGATAGGACTAATTATTTAGCGACTAAATTCAGAATCAGAGAAGAGTTTTGCCTATTCTAGTTCATTTCCTGTTTATTTCTTTGTTTTCCAAAAACATGAACTATCACCAGTACATCTGAAAACAATGGAGTTTTGAATGATTTGTTATCTCTTTTCGCGTTATCAATCACAATGTCAATGTCAATCACCTTTCCTCCATTCTCCTTACTTGGAATTGCTTCTTTACATTTCTTCAATATTTTAACACAATCTTCGTCGCTCTAATCATGTAATATCCACTGCTTGTCTTAAAAAGTATTAACATAAAAACAAGACAAATTAAACAAAAGATAGTAAAATCAATGTAACTTTTAGCAGCACATTCAATCCGTCTCATTCTAAACAAGTTGAATCATGATCTATTTGTCAACTTGACATAACAAATTGAACATAAAATGACTCATCAAATTATCGGGTTATAACAGGTGAAATAGCAATTCAAATATTATCATGATTCATTATTTGATTACTTTTGATCTCAATTTATTTTGTCCCAGGCAAATTATGAATGGACAAGTACATTAGTTCCGGTTTATACCTTTAGCAAATTGCATGAGCGGAAGGAACAGACTTAAACATATCTCCACCAATATATTTCAAGTTGCTGCCCCCTTCCAAGCCTTCGACCACATGAGGCAGGTCGAAAACAGAGCATATTTCAACTCTGGAAATGCATTAGAAATGGTTTTAGCCACATTTCCAGTGTCGTCTACCAACGTTTTCAATCCTTCAAAAACTCTGTTACCATTTATTATGAACACACTAATGATCGATCGGACATCACTACCCATGGCTTCGTGGTACAACTTGTGTGCCATGGTATAACTTGTTCACTTGCACTCAATTATTCTCAATACATTCAATCTTTTGCAACTAAAACTTAACAATAGTCACTTTTTATATACACTCTAAAAGAGAACACTGGTTTATCTCCTAAATAAACAGATATTTTAAGTTCACATTTTGAACATCAATTCAGACACAAAAGAAGAAAGCAGTTTGTTTTGGTTTCAAACATCACAATAAACAGTGGTTTCTTGTATAATATTGATAGGTCATGATACTGAAAATGATAGATTTTTATGTAAAATCAAACTACAAAATTTCCTGGCTATTTAGAAAGCATTTCAACAGAACAGAATTAGTGTACATAATTTACATTTAATCATCTCCATATCCAGCGATGCAGGAGTGTTAAATTAATTTTGACGTATATGATCAGAATGTTGACGTGTATAGTGTGGAACCACTAAAAGTTATTTATACAAACTCTTCAATTCTTTTGTGTTGAGGATCTTTGGTATTGGTAAAAGAAATGACCTCATCTCTTTTCTTCTGACTTGATCCTAGACCAAGGTACTAAACCCATTGTAAAGTACTCTTTCAATTTGATATGTTGAGTTTATGTAATTCGTGTGAATCATGATTTGTGTTGGGTTGTTGAACATTTTCCCAACTCATTCATGCTTTGTATGATCTCATTTGAGTGCTCAAGATCAATACAGTATTTTGTTTTCACTCTTATAAATTAAAATGAAAAGAAATTGCCTTCCTGAAATGTGAACCTCTTTTGTACTACAACTTCGTGAAAATGCTTGTGCAACTTATAAAGATTGATACCGTAGATCAAGACTTTCACCAAACACTTTATTTGCATATTGAATTCCTTCCTCTACTTCGTCTTAAAACATGAAACAGATCATAACTTAAACTACTGAAAAAATGAAAGTGACCGAAACTATCACCACAAAAATCTCCTTAGCTGCACTATGTGCATACAAAATCAAAAGTCATCTATGGATTTAGTTTTATTTTCAAACATGCAAGAGGAAATTCGATACAATTGTTTATATGCACATCTAAGAATTTTAAAAAGATGAAAATAGTTATCATTGTAGGTCCATTTCACAGAAGTGTATAGATTTGAGAAAAGAAAAATTTGGAAAAAAGAAGAAAAACTTACGGGTAATTCAAAAAATAACACCAAAGACCAATTGGAGCTGAACCAGAGAAATCAAAAATGATGATAAGGATTGAGAACGAGCAGCAACGAAGGCCTGAAAAGGAGAAGGAAAAGAGCAAGCAAGCCAGAATGCTGGATTCTAGAATGTCAGTGAAGAATGAAGAAGAACTGCAATACATAGCAGAGCAGAATAGGGTCATTTTTAGAAATAGCCCCAAATAATCAAGAAAATTACAAATTTGCCAGCGTTCGTCCTTTTCAAACTGCCATTTCTAAATAAGGGAGATGTATGCATAATTATGTCATATTTTATGGAGTTCTTTTATCTCAAATTCAAGTAAAATTAGTGTTAAATGGGCTAAATTATGTTTATGATGCATGTATCTCTCTCTATCTATCTATCTATCTATAAATATATATATATGATTATTTTTCTGAAAAATTATATAATTACATAAAATGTCCATACTTTGTTTATTAATCCAATTTATAATCTTGAAAAGTTACCTACTATTTTATTATTTTATAATTATGTGTCAGATTTGGAGTTAGATATATTGGCAAACATTACTCCTTCAAAATACACTAAAATATTGTGCTTATTTACCTATTCAGCTAAGCACACTCCTAAGTTACACTTTTAACTATAAATCAACATGTTCTCTCTCCTCCTCCCTTCCCTTGTTCATGACTTCAATCTTACTCATGCTTCTCTCTTTCATGTTCTTCTTCAAATACTTACCACCATTTAAATGAAATTGAGCACTACACATCTAAATTTAGAGATTAGTAATTGATTTCATCTATTATTTACGTTATGTGTTTAATTTTTTTTTTATAGTTTTCAGTACACATTTTCTTCCGATTTTGAATAATTATTGTAATTTTTTTTGAAAGTTCATTGATTAAAAGTTTTGTTAAATTTGATGGCTAAACAATCTTTAACCAAGAGGATTGCTAATAGAAATACAACACAAATCAAGAAGCTAAGCTATGCAAAATAAGTCTTTTATTTGAATTTCACTCAAGAACATTGTGTTATTATTCATTAAAACGCATACATACTTCATGAGTCTGTAATATATCCAACATGTATATGATATATATCTGACATGTATTTATTAATATTTGATCAGTTTTGTACATATATGTGATACACACGACATATATATGAAATTTGATAGGCATAATACATATACATGTGCCCTTTAACTTGACTTCAAATTATATATATGCTCTTCAACTTTGAATATGCACAAATAGACACTTAAACTTGTATAAAGTTGAACAAATAGACACACGTGTCATCCAACATGTCATTTTTTGTCCTACGTGGTGTCCTACTTGTATTGTGTCATGTAGGACTCATGTGTTTGTTTATTTAAAAGTTGTATAGTTAAAGTGCCTATTTATGCATTATACCTATTTGATATACTGACAACGCATACACTATGTATCTGATACATACTTCACTAAGTTGTTCTAATACATTTGTCACAGCCCAAAAATGGACGTGATGATACTCGTCTTATCCCACCAAGACAAGTCAGCCTAAAATTCACCCTTTACTAAAAATTGTGAAAATTTATAATCAAGTTGAAAATACCCCAAAACCTGATTTTCACGTGCAAAAGCATATAATGTGTTAAAAAAACAAAGAAAATACAAGATCTCAAATGATATTATTTCTACAATAGAATAAAATCATAAATAAGGAGAAAGAAGGTATGCTGAGATCTCAACAAGGCTAGTCCCAAGGATAATTTTCCGTTGCCAAATATTCATATTTTGATTGACTACTATGCCAAACATGAGATGCAGTCATTTGTGGACTTTTACGCAGGTTATCATCAAATTTTGATGGATGAAGAACACGCAGAAAAAATGATTTTCATTACACATTGGGGTGTAAATCACTACAGGGCGATGTCGTTCGGCCTCAAGAACGCTGGTGCAACCTACATGAGAGCCATGCCGTCTATTTTCCACGACATGATTTATAAGGAGATTGAAGTGTACGTGGATGACATCATAATCAAATCCCGTGAGAGTTCAGATCACTTGACATATTTTAGAAAATTCTTTGAACGTTTGCGTCGTTAAAACTTGAAGTTGAATCCCGCCAAATACGCTTTTGGAGTTCCAGCTGGGAAATTATTGGGATTTATAGTCAGCAGAAGAGGCATCGAGCTCGATCCTTCTAATATTAAATCAATTCAAGAGTTACCTCCACTGAAAACGACGTTAGCCAACCAGGTTGGATATTGTGCTACTTCCACCAATCGAGACTCTATTTGCTTGGTGATTTCTTCCTTAATCTTCAAACTCAGTTCAGGCTTGAATTTTTGAGTCTTTTGCTTCACTGGCTCAAACCCTGGGTTGATCGTAGCTTATGAGATACGACATCGGTACTCAATCCTTGCATATCACCGACTTCCCAAACAAACACATCACTGTATTCGGAAAGAAAATGAACCAGGCTCTCCTTTTGAGTTTCATTCAGGTGAGTGTTGATCTTATCCTCTTTGACACATTCTAAATCTCCCAAATTCACCATTTTCGTCTCCAATAGATTTGGTTTATGCTGATTCTCGAACTGCCGAAATTCCTCGGCGACATAATCTGGTTCCCACTTTCTTCTTCATAGTCATCAACCTTGTCGTCATTTGCCTCATTTTGTTCATTTAGTTCATGACATGACATGACATTGGCGGGTCTGTAACTTATGTTACTGAAACCATAATAACAAAATCAGGAAAGTAAAGTATAACAAACAATTGAATAAACAAAGTTAAAAAAATAAAGAGGCTTTCATTTAAAACAATACAAACTTTGGCCATGGCATGGGGGAAATGTTGCCTTTTTGAACATCACAATAAAAATTCAAAAATTTGAACAATTAAGAAAAATGCTGAAATGGTGGGTCTCGGGCCTCCTCCGGACAACCACCGATTTTAGTATGCATAAAATAACTCCTTTCTACCGAAGAGTTCGGGACATCAGGATCGGCGTGGAAGTCCAATTCTGCAACACCTCACTTGGTTGAGCATCACGAATACCTGGTAACTCGACCTCATCCTCAATAACAGCATTGATCTCTTCGAAGAGGTCACAGATTCCTTCCCCGAAGTCTTCAGGCTCGGCATACTCCCGGATTAGAAAGGATTGATACAGATGCGGGATCGACTTAGCCAACTCTTGATCCCTTTCCTTCTTCATCTTCACGTCGTCATTAGTAGGAATGTACCCTAAACCATATCTGGATCTCTGAACAAGGATCGGAACAGGCTCAATAATTCCTTGGAAATCTCTTCCCAATTCTAAACCTGGATCGAAACCATTTTGCAGCATCACCGTGGCTATCATTTTGTATACGGATGGCATGGGGGTCTGTGGGGCCAAATCTTCATCAGTGGCATTCACCAGCTCCACCATGTGAAAGTCTGCACCTTGCGGCACCTCATCAATGACCGACATCTGCTTGCCCGAGTGACTTCCCTTACTATGAATCACTAACTCTTCATTTTTCCATACAAGCTTCATCATTTGATGGAGAGTAGAGAGGACAGCTCCAACCATGTGGATAAATGGCCTTCCCAAAAGAAGGTTGTAGCTGGTGTTTATGTCCAATACTTGGAATTGCGCGCTGAACTCTGCGGGTCCCATTTGAAGGGTCAAATTCATTGCCCCTAATGTGTCTCTTTGCACCCCATCAAACGCTCTTACATTAACCTGGTTCTGCTCCAGTTTCCCAAGGTCAAAATTTAGTTGCCTCAACGTCGACAATGGGCAAATACAAACCGGATCCATCATCTACCAAAACACGGTTGACAACCTTTCCACGGCATATCACGGTAATGTGTTTGTTGTGGGATCTTCCTTCGACTGGCAACTCATCATCACAAAAGTTGATCCGGTGCCCCCGAATAACTTGATGAATCATGGCAGCCACGTTATCACCACTTGTACCTGAGGGTACGTATGTATCATCAAGGGCTTTCATTAAGGCCTGCCTGTGAGACTGAGAGCTCATCAGTAGGGCCCACACGGAGATCTGAGCCAGGGTCTTCTCTAAATGTTTGACGATGGAATAGTTCTTCGATTGCATCCTTCTCCAGAACTCTTTTGCTTCTGCTTCGCTTATTGGCCTCTTAGCATGGTCTTTCTTCTGTCCTCCGAGAGCAAGCTCATCAAGAGTGTAGCACCTTCCGGACCTGGTCATGCCTTGGGCCACAGCAGTTTCGATGACAAATTTGGGCTTTACGAGAGTTTCTGAAGGCACCAAGGCAACAACCTTTGTAGGTGTCAGAATAACAAACTCTCTCCTTTCTTTGACGCTTAAAGAAGCTACAACCCTTTCCAAGTCCTCCTGCACAATAGGAGTAATCCTATTTGTTCCACACCCATGTTCATCTGTTTCAATCATATTAACGTTTCCAACTCCATGATTTGGCAACGGGTTTATATTGACATTCGGCGCCACCGGTTGTAGAGAAACTACCTCCTGATCGATCAGATCCTGGATTTTATGCTTAAGGTTGATACAATCTTCCATGTCATGTCCAGCACTGTTGGAATGATGAGCACATCTTTGATCTGGCTTGTAGAACTTTAAGTTGACATCCACGGGCTTGGGCCCCACAGGGTGGATGTTCCAGCCACGGCTAGTCTCTCGAATAGTTTGGTCCGGCATTCAACAAGTGCGGTAAAGTTCCTTGAAAGCTTTCTTCAAATCTCGGACGGGAAGGATCATAACCGCTTTGCTGAGGGGGAGGCACCTGTTGATAATTTCGGGTAATTGGATGAGGAGCTTGACTTCTAGGATAAGGGTTTGTCTGGTAATTTGGCATTGGAGCTTGGTAATTTGGGAAGGGGTCCTGATATAATGGATCTTCGACTTGATAAGTGGGCGGAGGTGCTCGGTAGCTCGACTGTACATTGGCACAGTTGGGAGCAATATTCTGGTAAGGGGATGGAATCTGGTAAGGTTGAGGGTAATTTGGGTATATGAGAGAAAAATTTTGGATATTTGGGGGTGGACTTTGGTATGACGAAATTTGAGCATTTGGATAGGTGGGAGTAGTATTGTTGTTATTAGGATGATTGGATTGTGGGTAGTAGGCTCGGTAAGACTTTGGGGAGGGTCTGGAACGATCTTGGGAATGC